TTTTTCTGGGGAGAAGGGCTTAGCAGAAATGACTCTAGGGTTTTCGAAGGCAAAGGGCTTCGACCAAAAAGGGTATGGGGGTTTATGATAGGCTGGTGACGGAGGCTTCACGTCTGGATTTTTCTGGAGCTTTGGAGGGTCTGGGTTCAGGTTTCTTTTTTGCACCTTTTTCCAACTGCTTAGGGTTTAGGGTTTAGGGTTCAGGGTTTAGAGTTCATAGGGTTCAGGGTTTAGGGCGCGGGGTTTGGGTTTTAGGGTTTAGGGTCCAGGGTTTAGGGTTCAGGGTTTAGCAACCAGCTTGACGGTGCGATCCCGTAACGAAGAAACAGGGTAATCACACAGGGAACTAAATTGCCGGGGCTGGGCCAGGACGGACTTTAAGGGACGGCAAAAAGCTCATCTTCGCGAGAAGTGTCGTTTCTGAAGACTCACACGCACTGTTGTATCAATAAGGGTCGATTAATTCAAACAATTAAACATAAACTAGCTACTCCCACCCCTAAATATTCTCCAGAATGTTATTAGAGGTCAACGTGTGTGGTTTGGGGTTTGAGCATCGGCTTGAGTCCGAGCGCGCTGCAGGCCGCAAGTCGAAACGAAACAGTTGCAACAGGCACGCTGGAGCCCACCCAGTGTCGCCAATGCAATTCGTCCGAGTTTTTGTCAACGAATTTCATGCGAGGAACCCGGAAGAAACAAGTTGAGAACGAACGAAGTCTGAACTCCGTTCACCCCTGGCTGGGGTCTCCGCTCCCCGCGGTAAAGGGCCCAGGCTCCTCACCTGTCTGCAGGTTTGGGACTCCCCGCAGTTTTCATGATTTATGCTGGGGTCCAGGGCTTGCGGCTTCGGATCTGTTTTATCTAGTGGCCAGTGACGGTCCGGCTTTGTTCTTTTCGAAAACTACAAAATAATAATTCGGCATGGAGAAAACGCTAGGGTTTGCGACTTCGGTAGCTTACGACACATGACCTCGAAACCAAGCTCCCAGCCCCGAAACCTTGAGCGCCTCAAAGAGAACCAGGCAAGAGGCCACCTATGGGGCCAGGTCCAGGGTGATGGTGACTTCATAAAAATGCAAGGCATGGCAACGATGATAATATCGTGATGGACGTGTCCATAGAGCAACAAGCCAAAGAGATACTCATCGTTGTTGTGATGATGATGACGATGATGGTGATGGTGATGGAGGAGGGAGAATGATCCCAACACATTGCCTGGAATGGCACCACCAGGAGGAAGGAAATCTGCAGCCGAAACCTCGTGTTTCAAGTAGGTTTGCCAGCTGCAGTAGCACATGTTTGTAGGCTCGAAACAATTATGCGGGGTTTGACAGATATTGGGCGCAGTCCTCTACATTGCGGTCCCTTTTCAGCACTCACACCCGGACGAGCCTAGGCGAGGGTTTCGACTCACACACTCGCAAAGCAGGCATGGCGCTAGGCGAGGGTTTGGGGTCCCGTTTAGGGTCCTTGTCAGCCGATTTATGTGTGGGACCCAAACAGGGACCAAGCTTAGAGAACTACCCATTGCGCCTGTGAACCTGGAGCTCAAACAGCCCGGTTGGGGGTTTAGGGTTTTGGGGTCTGGGGTTTAGGGTTCAGGAGCTTCTCAGTCTTTCAAGGGTTTAGGGTTTAGAGGTCTGGGGTTTAGGGTTTAGGATCTTGGTCTTTGAGGGGCTCCGACTTTAGGGTCTGGGGTTTAGGGTTTAGGATCCTAGTCTTTGGGGGTTTGGGGTCTAGGAGGGGTAAACGGCTAGGATTTCAGATCTTGGGCACCTCGTCAGGCAGTTTTCGGTTGAAGGTTTATAGGGGTTCTCGCTCTTTCCCGGCGATATCGAAGATCAAGACCACCTGCCTAGATCATCTATAAAAAGGACCAAAGGATGACATTCAGGCCCATGCATATGAGATTTAAAATTTAAGGTTTAGGCTCCATAGGGTGCATCTGTGAGGCATATGTTGTGGTACAGATCATGCTTCAGCGTTAGTCGCGCAATAAATACTGAGGCAAGCGCCCACAAAGGCGATTCGGTGCTTCTGGCACAGCAAATCTCAACTTCTCAGAGTCCCCGTTTGGTCAGTTGCCACCCTTGCCGAAACGTTCCTATATGGCCGTAGACAACAGAACGCTAAACCCCAAACCCTAAAACCTTACCCATAACCCCCCAGGTACCTACTATATAGGGTACTAGAGCCCCTAGGGCCCTATGTAGCAGGTACCTGGGCGGTTAGGGTTAAGTACAGGTCCACAAGCATGAAGCCACAGCATGCATGCTCTCAGCTCCGCGCTGCCATGTGGCCATGGCAGGCATTGGGTGCAAAGCACTATGGAACGAAAGATGGGCGGGTTTAGGGTTTTGGGGTTT